ATAGAATATAGACCTTCATAAATAATTTTATTACACCTGTATTTCATCCTAGTGTCATCCTACTCCAAAGAAGGTCTTACTCAACTTCACATGAACTAGGATATTACTGCAAATGGACAAATCACTGCAGTCTGTTTCTGTGCTGTTTAGTCTTCAGTCAGAGATGATGAGAAAAAAAAGGGAATTGCTCTTTTATAGGCGATCCTGAGCTGTGGAGTCTGTGGTTTGTGGAGTCTTTACATTGGAATTAAATGTCAGCAGTCTGGATACTCTGGCAAAGGATAATGGTCCATTTTGGCCCATCTCTCTGCTGGAGATCCTAAACAACAGATGTGTCCCTGGGCATCTGGGGAACTGGAGAGCAAGCTCAAGGCACTCTACCAGCCAGCCTGACAGAGTGCAGACCAGCAGCAAATCAAGCAGCCAGCAACAGGATAAGGCATTTGGCCACAGGAAGAATGGTGGAGGCTGTCAGGAATCTGGGAGCTAGGCAGCAGGCAAGCTGGGAAGGTGCCAGCCATGTTCTTGGCCAATGGGTGAGAATTTCTACTTGCCAGCTTGGTATCTCGCCAGATGATCACTTGTCATTCTGCTGAAAGTCATGAGGCCATTTTGCAGCTTAGAAAAACTAAGGGAAAAAAAGTTTTATATTGTGTTATTTGTTTTATTGTTGATGAAAGACTGAACAGGTAATTGTCCAGCTTTTCCTCACTACTACAAAATTTAGAGGTTTGCTAACATTTTAAAAATGGCAAATAAGAGTGTGATATAGGCCCAGAGCCACAAATTTGAGGAATGACCTACCCTTCAAATCTTGTACAACTGGGCACCTGTAAGTAAATTTCAGATACATTAGTTCATTTTGCAGACTTAACTACAAAATAGCTTGCAAAATAAAACCACAGATAATGGCTTAAAATCACCTATCTCTCTAAATACATTCTGCTTCTAAATTCTGAACGTGGGCTAAATGTAAATTTTAAAAATGTAAAGGTATCAGAAAATAAAGGGTTACTTGAAAATTGATGTCATATTTTAATCTTTCTGTTCTTTCTTTGGACAAATCTGATTTCTGGAAATACTTACATAACATCACTGGTTGGGCAACATTGTAAGTGGTAGCTTTTTTTAATTAGACCTAAGGGATAGAGGGAGGAAAAAAGGTTTTTCAAACCTTCTTGAGGTCTAAAATAGAATCAGTAACCTTCAAAGATAAATACAATTTTAAATCCATTATCCAGCATGATTCAGGATAAGCATTTATTGACTAGTCAGCAGTCCATATTCAGCTACTTGAACATTTGTGAGAACACACTGAAAAGCTGCAAACTCAGCCAAAGCAGAATCACATACACTTCCTATCTGCAAAATAGTTTTGGTAGTACTTGGCAAATTCCATTTAAGTGTTTTCTCATAATATTAGGTTTAAACTCAGCCTTGTGCCTGGAGACTGCAGCTATAACTCTACCTAGATCATTCTGTATGCATGGGAGAGGTTAGAGTGAGACAGATGGAGATTTCTTTTGAGTATAGGGCCCAAACCTTAGAGAGCTGTGGCAAGCTTGATTAATCACTCTGCATCCTACTTCATAACTATTACTTATGGTTTAAGAATAACTGCTTTCCTTTGTCCCTGCTCCAGACTGGAATATAAAAGTGTGTGGAGGTGTATGCTGTGCATACAAGGACAGTTTCTGTTTTAACCCTTCATATGTGTCTGCAGGTTCTTTTTAATATATGACAACCTGAAGGACAAGCAGATACCAGACAATGCAGCTCTCTGAAGCACGTAAAAAAGAAATCTAATCCAGTTAAAATCTGGAGTCCAGCTATGCAGGATAGTCATTTGCACCTAATGAATCAATACAAGTCCACAGCTCCAGCACGCATGATGATAATCTTTATGTCCACTTTGGTAGATACGTTAATCTGACTAGAGCAATGTGTCAGAATGATTGACAGGAGCAGATTCTTGGGGCAGCAAAACAGCTTTGCTTGCTTTTTCTCTGCCAGAGCATTGAAAAGTTTACTTTCTTGTTGAGAGCTGTGGGAGCAGTGGATATTTTTTGACCAAGAAGAGGAGACATACCCCACTCATAGTTCTCCATTCAGGACCAGCAGGCAGGAACAGGATTTCCAGGAACTGATTTTCCAGGACTCACATTTTGACTCTTCCTCCTTCTCCTTTTCCCACTGACATCTTATCTTTAGGAAGGCTGTGTTCTGCTTTGTCTCTTCTGAGAAGCTGTGATATGGTTTTAACCATGACAGAAACAGCTGATTGACTTATGAATAACTGTTAATGTACCTGAGTTAGACTGCTGAATATATGGCTGAGTTAGGCTTTGTCCATATGACTCAACTAATACAGAAGTGACTGATACCTATTTTGTCCTGTTGGGTTGCTAATGGCAGTGTTGTAATAGCTGAAAAATTACTTAGTGTGATTCATTCCTCTTATGTATGTTTTAGACTAATGTGGTAAGAAATAGTTTGCACTATTGCAGGTAGAAGGGTAGCCTTGATAAATGTTCTTTTAAGTCTCTGAAAACATCTGACACATCTTTCTAATCAACAGAAAAATGTGTTAACTGAACTGGAAACAGGATATAGCTTATTTGACTAAAGAATACAGTCATTAATAGGCAAATGAAATATATTAACCTTCTATTTGTTATTAGCATAAATGGTATACTTGTTTTTTTTTTTACAAAGCACAACAATGCTGGAAATTCTGTAGAATGTTTAAAATAACATGTTTAAAGTAAATTGTAGTATATATAAATCTGAGTAAGGAATAGCAGAGTTCAAAGTATGGTTCAAAGTTCAGATGACAGGCAGGTATCTGGCATCCCAAGGCAGAAGTTTATTGTTGTCTCATTTCTGATTTAATCTGTGGCTTTGAAATCCTTTCTAGTAGTGGTGTACAAGGCATGAAAAAAAAAAGAAAACCAAATTCAAAATTAGTCTAGTATTTTGTGTGATCTTTCTGACCTTTTAAACTGCTTAAGATAGATTCTGGTAAACAAAAAACTGCTACAATCAAAGATAGTAGAAATGAAATTCAGAACAATCCAGGAATGTTTTCTAAAGTTGGCTGCAAATCTTTGGAGAGGTTAGTTCAGTTAGTGCAGAAACTTCTGACTAGAGCCTTTTACTAGTTCAGTATCTGGTGTGTTAGGTTTAAGAATTTGGTATCAGTTTGAAGTTCTACAATTGAAGGACAAGAACAATTCAATATACATTACTCTAGGGTAGAACCTAAAAAGCAACCCAATTGCACATGCAGGAACCCAAATATGAAAGATAACTTCCTGTTGCCTATGTGACTTTTTCAAATAAAGTCTGCAAGTCACATGTAGATAATACTCTCCATTCTGGAAAAAAACCAAACCAAACCAAGCCAATCCAAAAAACACAAACAAACAAACAAAAAATCAAACTACATAAAAATTAAGAAAATAGCATAGGCAGTATGTAAAACTAAAGTAATCAAAACTCTGCAAAGTCTCTGATCATTAACTGCTAAGTATTCTAAACTTGTGATTATTTTTGACATAACCCATATGTGGGGCTGTTGAATTTGTTTTCATATTATTAGTTTTAAGCATGTGTTTTCAAGATATGTTCTTCAGGCTGTTTGTAGAGTCAGGTTATTTGTTTGTTGATTGTGGTGACACAAGCAGAAGTTTGACTAAAACATTTTTATTGACTTTGGCCCGTTCATCTGTGAATTCATTTTAGTAGTGTACATGCCTTTTTTGATAATCAGGAAGCACTAGAATCATTTTACAGTGTTCTTATTAATTCATCAAGGACAGTAGTCCATCATGGAGACCTAATAGAACACTGAGAACCCAGTTCTGTACAGAACATAAGCAACTCGCATTTGACTTGAGTAAAAGTTGTGAACTTAAATTATTCATCACTTCATAATATTTAACCATTAGGGAGCCTCACATATTTCAAGGGTATCACCTCTTCTCTGCCTCACTGCGTTTTTTGATGTTACCTCATATAAGCAGAATATGTTGTATGGGAAAATGTAAACTATGGACCTCTCCTCTTCCCCACTATAGGCCACATGGTAGGAACATAACTGTATGGTGAATTACATGATGGGATGTCAATGAGAAGCTACTGTAGGAGAAGCCTCATGTTTCCATATGCTGGCATGGTACAATAGCTTGTCCTGGGCTTCCTGAACCTGCAAAGTGGGAAGTCAGCCTAGCACAAGAAGAGATATTGCACTGGTAGTACAAAGCATGCCGTGGCCCAAGACTCAGATAAGGCAATGTTATGGAGCAGAGAAAACACTTAATTTATGTGTTCTTCCTGGTAAGGAAAGAAAAATATGAACTCTGTATAAAGGCAAGTATATAGAATCATAGAATCATAGAATAGATTGGGTTGGAAAAGACCTCCAAGATCATCAAGTCCAACCCCTGATCCAACTCTAATTACTATATCATGGCACTAAGGGCCATGTCCAATCTCTGTTTAAAAACTTCCAGGGATGGTGAATCCACCACCTCTCTGGGCAAGCCGTTCCAATGCCTGATCACCCTCTCGGTAAAGAATTTCTTCCTAACATCTAACCTAAACTTCCCCTGGCAGAGCTTGAGCCCATGTCCCCTTGTCCTGTTGTTGGTTGCCTGGGAGAAGAGACCAACCCCCACCTGGCTATAACTTCCCTTCAGGTAGTTGAAGAGAGTGATGAGGTCACCTCTAAGCCTTCTCTTCTCTAGACTAAACAATCCCAGCTCCCTCAGCCTCTCCTCATAGGACTTGTGCTCAAGTCCCTTCACCAGCCTCGTTGCTCTTCTCTGGACCCGCTCCAGCACCTCAATGTCTTTCCTGAACTGAGGGGCCCAGAACTGAACACAATACTCCAGGTGTGGCCTCACCAACGCAGAGTACAGGGGAAGGATCACTTCCCTGCTCCTGCTGACTACACTGTTCCTGATCCAGGCCAGGATGCCATTGGCCTTCTTGGCCACCTGGGCACACTGCTGGCTCATGTTCAGCTTCCTGTCGATCAGCACCTCCAGGTCCCTTTCCACCTGGCTGCTCTCCAGCCACTCTGTCCCCAGCCTGTAGCGCTGCAGGGGTTGTTGTGGCCAAAGTGCAGGACCCGGCACTTGACCTTGTTGAACTTCATCCCGTTGGAATCAGCCCATCTCTCCAGTCTATCCAGGTCCCTCTGTATATGCATGTGGAATTTTTGTTGTACAGATTATTTCAATCTATCAAATATCTGTCCCAGGTAAACAGGGGGAAAAAAGAAACCCATGAAGATGCAATTTATGCCTGTACAGAGAGACAGTACAAGACATGTACTTCAGCTAGAAATATGAGTGACATATATGCCTTTAAGTGTTTCTGGAATACTGAAAGACATATAAAAAGAACATAAACTCCAAACTGGAATTTGGCCAGGAACATAAGCCAATGATACTTCTGAAATGGGATGCATTTTTGCTTTCATTTGGTTTTAATGCAGATGTAGTACTTCTAAACTTCAGACAGTAGCAGTATTTCTGAACTTCAGATTAAGCTTCTTTTTCAGCTGAATTATAGTATTTCTAAAAGGAGCTACTAGATTTAATTATGTTCATTAAAGTAAGATTCAGAACTATAATTCTAAGATTTATTGTGAAAATTCTTCAACTTTTTTACATGTTAGGTTTTATGATGCAATTAAACATTGGCTGTGAAGTTTATTGTCATGCCACGTTAATGTTTTTGTCATTTTCAAACAAGCTTATAATTAACGTGAGAAGTAAAGACATGTGAAGTATACGGGTAAAAATGTAACATAGTTCCTGTAAATCTGAAGGTGTTTACAATCTGCAAGTATGTCTGTATTATTTCTTTAGTTAGATGTAGACTATATATGTTTTTAGGATATATTGAACACAACTAGTCACTAACATAAAGTACAAAATAGCACAGTATCTGTAGTTTTTTGTAGATTTGTGACTGCTAATTTTTTCAGACGTGGTGTAGGTGTCTGCATGTTTTTTCATATTAAATGAAAGATGTCTTTTTTCATATTAATTTAGCATGTAAATAGTTTATAAATGGAAGAACTTAAACCCCGGGTTTAGTGTTTCTATCTTATGTAAAAATTCTCTATTGTCAAACAATTTTGTTGGGCTTAGGTTATGACCTGTTCTTTCCTTTGGGGCTTCTGCTTGACTACCTGTTTTTTGTATTTTTTTTTTCCCCTGATGCTAACAAGGACCTTTAAAGATCTATCCTGATATCAAACATAGGCCAAAAAAGTAAAGAGTTAAGGGAGAAGTAGATAACAGACCTATGATTGTTATGACTACCTAAGCTTTAATTCTGTTTGCACCACTGCAAGACACAATAATGTGTAGCAGACACACTAATGATAGCTTTTGCACTTCTTGAGCTGCCACACCCAGTCCTCCTCTGCTTGTGTATGTGTGTGCACACAGTTTCTCAGTGTGACAATTGTTAACACAAGGGAATGCTTTTAGCTCCAGTGCCACTAGTGGCTTAGTATGAGGACCTCTACATACATAAAGACCTGTCTTCCTGCAGACCTGTCTTTCCATTCTTCTGAGTACCCACTGACTTTAGTTTCATCCTTATTTTTTTCCCTGTTGCATTCACAGATTGTCACCTCATTCAGTTATTGATCTCTCCTGTGCTACAAATTCACTCGACACTGCTATCTCTGCCTTAAAATTATTTCCATGGGGGGATCTTGAATCTATTGCTTTGAACTTAATTGACTTTTAAATTGATTTGAAGGAAGGAATAAAGTTCTATATCTATTCTGTCTGGTTTGGTTCTTCTGAGCTAAAGAGAGAAAGATAATTTCTGTCATCAAAACCAGGCAGGCATAATGCTGAATGCATACAGACTGTGTTGTCTAGTGCGTAGGTTATATTTTACAATTTCTTCATCCTAATATTGCCCTGTCCCTACATGTTCAAAGGCAGAAGTTCTATAGGAAATTTGGTAGTTTATTTATTGAATTCTCAGCTATTGCTTCCTAATTCTGTTCAGGAGGTCACACTATATGTCTGAAGTCCTACAGTATGCAGCATGAGTAATTTCCTTCTTGGACACAGTGGGGTTTCTAGGCACAGCTACCTTCTTTTAGGCTTTCCTAAAGGGAAAAGCCCAGAGTACTGCAAAGGTTAAGTGAGCTGGCCTTTGGGGCACAGCAGGAAGCTCTCCAGCCCATGTTTGTCCATTAACTTCTGTCAAAAATAGTCCAGCTTTTTGCTCTTGTTGGCTTCTCATTCCCTGAATTTTGAAAGAAGTGTTTGTAAGTCAGGCACAGATTCTGTGCATGCTAACATGACAGACAAGTATTTCAGGTAGCTGTCCAGTCAGCTAGGTGACATTGATTATATGCTCTGCCAATAACAGAAAGTACAAATTTAAGAACTTCACTGTAAACTGCAAGCCATCTTGGCTATTAGCCATACCCATCCTAGTTGTACAAAGCACCATCTGGTGATCTTTTCAGCAGTCCTTCAAGTTGAAGAGTTTGCTTTTTTAAAACAGAACTGTAAACATCTAAGCTGTTTTGCAAATTATTCTTTGGTTTTTTTTGATTTTTTTGTTGTGGTTGTTTTAGGGTTTTTGTTTGTTTTGGTTTTTGGATCTTTTTGTGGAAAAGACAGGCTGATAGAGTTTGGGCTGTTCAGCCTGGAGAGGAGAAGGCAGAGGAGACCTTACGGCACCTTCCAATACCTAAAGGGAACCTGCAAGAGAACTGGAAAGGGGCTTTTTACACGGGTCTGTAGCAAGAGCAACAGGGGGAATGACTTTAAACTGAAAGATGGTGGGTTTAGACTAGATATTAGGAAGAAATTCCTTAATTTGAAGGTGGTGATACACTGGAACAAGTTTCCCAGAGAGGTTGTGGATGTCTCACCCTCGTAAGTCGGCAAGGCCAGGTTAGATGGGGTTTTGAGCAAGCTGGCATAGTGGGAGGTGTCTGTTCCCATGGCGGGGGAGCTGGAACTGGCTGATCCCTAAGGTTCCCCAACCCAAAACATTCCATGATTTTATAAGATAGCTTGATTCAGCTGCAGCAAGTAATTATGGTGGCAAAATTGTATGTATGTAGTGATTGCTATATTAGGAGGCTTACACACTTCCTCCTTTTTACATTTCTTTTCACTGCCTTTAGCATTTGTGTGGAAGAGATACCTGAAAAAGCATGTCCTGGACTGGGTATGGAAGTGGCAGTAGCTTCTGCAGCAACGTCAATCTTGTGCCAAAATTCACCAGAGCACCCTTTGGTGATCAGATTTATTATCTGCTTTGCTAGGGGATAAGTTTGAGGTTTTCAATTTTTTTAACTTTGACACGTGGAAATCTGTAGGATATGTTCAAAATTGTCTTTATATTAAATGTGCAGAACTAGATTCCATAACTGTCTTAGGAAATATTTAGAGATCTGTAAGCTGAAAAAGATTGAAATTTGTTGCTTCACAAATACAGCTCTGTAACATGAACACAAGCCTGTCATATTTTGAGTAGAGATCATTCTGACTGATTCACAACTTTTCTACTGACAGAAAATCATAGAATCGTAGAACTGTTTAGGTTGAGAAAGACCCTTAAGATGATCAAGTCTAACTATAAACCCAGCACTGTCAAGTCCACCACTAACTCATGTCACAAAGTGCCACACATCTCCAGGGATGGTGATTCAAAAATGTTTTTAGAACAATATAAAACCCCAATGATACAACAAACTATAAGTATAGCGAAGTCAGAAAAAAACCCTTCTCTTCTGATACTGGCAGAAAAATGAGGGGTGAGAATAGAAGTGATAGGTATACCAGGAGTGTCATCAGGTTTACTTTACTGTAATAAGTGTAAATTTACATCCAAGGTTTTGTATGGTGCTGCTGATGCTTGCTGCAGATACCCACCACTGTATGATTAAGAAGTCTGTAGGAATCTCTCTTTTTTTCATAAACTACCCTGCCCTTCCTATCCCAGTTTTTAATTATTTATTATTCAGACTTCTTCAGACTTCTCCCTTGTTCTTCTGTATTCCTGTCTCTAATATCTTTGCTTCAGAAAACTCACTAAGCTCATTAGACATGCATGTACCATTTGCTTGCATCCTCAGTAAATGCCTGGGAAGCCAAAGTAAGACAGATGAAAACTGGAAAAGGTACTGAAGAGGATTTAAATTTAAACATTTCGATACAAAATTGAATATACCTTTGATTGTTCATGGTCCAAACTCATCTGTAGTTTCCTCAAATCTGCCCTTATTATGACATCTAAAATCCTGTAGAAAGGAATGTAGTGAACATCAACTCCTCTAGTAAACATCAGCTAATCTCATTGCCAAGTCTTTTCCTGCCCTTCAACATGCCTCTCCACTCCCATCCCCCTTCTTAATATGTGAGGAACAAAATCAACTTCATGGAGCTCTCTTGAGGTTCAGGAGTTTCACTGGGAGACAGCTGCTGACTCCAGGGTTTGAAAGTACTAAGACTGGGAGAAAAAACTGCAGAACAAAGAATTTCCTGCCCTTCTTTGTCCTATTTCTCAGATTCGTTACAGAAGGATGGTTTCTATACCAGCTATTACTGCCTCTGGGTTTTTTTGTTTTCCAGTTGTAGCTCTGGAACTGCTGAGGAGCCAAAATCTTCCTAGCTGCTCCCAGTAATGCAATCTGTTGTTTATATCTAAAATTATTTTAATTGTCTAATTAGCATTTAATCACCTATACTTTGGTCTTGTGTTCTGGATTTTGATGAGTTGTGTATATTCAATTTTGCTGTCACTTTCCTTTTGGTCTTTCTTTTCCCTTCATGTAGGCTAAGAAAGTGTTTCAAATGTGCTGAAAAGTTCTCTTTCCTTTTAAAATTATTTCAGTATCTTCAGTTACTAAATGAATTTAAAATTTCTGCAAAATTTTCTTTTTTAAAAATTCAAAATCAGATCTGAATTGGAGAAGGTCAGTGTATTAATCCATTAATCATGTGATATTAGTAGTTTGGTCTTAGCAGTTTGGTCATTGTTGAA